AACACATCCTTTCTTCAGTGACCAGTTCTGTCTCATCCATCCGTTCGGCAACTGGCAACCTGCTTTCTGACACAGGTGGCAGACTGTCAGATGAACCATCATGTGACCTCGTTGGCAGTATACTGAACAGTCAAGCAGTGTGGCATTCCAAGAAGTCTGTGGTCACTATCAATCGTGATGGAAGTTTGCATATTAAAAGTGATGAAGGTGGTGGGACTCTAAGAAGGAACACAGAAAAGAGTGCTCTAAGTGATAGTGGTGTGAATAGAATTGAGGAAGGTTTAATTGTAAGAACAGATGACAAGCTCTCACAGATTAGCAGCAGTGAAGTACCAGTGAATGTGACTGAAGCTGGTTCTTCTGCTTCTGGACATGTAACCCAGGCACCGATGTATCCCGGTCGCAGTGGAAGTAGCAGTACGAGGCCACCTTCTGGTGGTGGTTTTCAACAGTTTGGAAGTAATAGGTATAGTAATAGTCCCTCTTACCATAGCTATCTGAGTGGGCGTGGTTACTCACACTTCCCTCCATCATCGAGTTTTGACTCTCGTGGATCCCGAACTGGATATGTGAATTACTTAAATAGTGGACCTCTCCCACCCTTCAGAAGTACTCCACTTAGGTTTCGCATGTCTCCGAGGTATCCTCGAAGGCCACTGATGCCCATAATTAGACCACAGTTTCACCAGCAACAGATACAGCAGATACCTCCAAGTAATGTGGAGGAGTTTCAGGCCGAGGATGGTGGTTCAGAAAGTCAGAAACATCATTCATCAAGGCCAGATGAAGAGGAAGATGAGATAGATATATACAGTGATATTGAAGTCGGGGGTGGATCTGGCAGTGGAGGTCCAGGAGGTGGAGGATCAGAACCTGATGATGGTGATAGAAGTGTGGAACTGGGTTATGAAGCTTTACCTCCTCCTCCTATACCTCCAGCAATGCTCATGGGGATGGGTGGGGATGCAATGAGTGATGAAGAACCAGGCAGTGATAGTGAACTTGTGATAGATGACAACATTGCACCTTCATCTCCTCCTGACAGTTCAGATCGATATGATCCAGAAGAAGCTACTGCTAAACCAGAAATACCAGAGTCTGAGA